CTTGATTGAATGAAATTACTATATCATCAATATAACTTACTAGATCTGTTATCTATATTTGATGTTAAGAGATGCTACATCAACCAGTGGTCTATTGTACCCAAATAAATATATTTTGCTAGACATCCTAGTTAAGAATGAGATGTTCTTTGATGGACTGAGAATTCCTCAAGGGGTTTATCGTTGTGGTAAATACGGGTGTCACATTCCCGAGGTACCCTTGTGATTATTTATATATTTTACATTTAATATCTTTCTTGTGAAGCATAAAATACTTGATTGAATGAAATTACTATATTATCAGTATAACTTACTGGATCTGTTATCTATATTTTGCAATTTGAATATCTTCCATGTAACTGAATGATTCTTATATCCTAGAATAACGTAAAATCTAGTTTTTGAGATGAGAGTCAAAATTATGTTAATTTGGCATTAAGCGTCTGTCATATATAATAGGGATGTAACGAATATTCGGCCGCTGTTCAGTATTCGGCCCTTGTGCCGAATGTTCGGCCTAGCCGAATACTGAAGTTATTCGTCTGAATATATGAATATTATTAGATATTTGGCTGAATAAATTCATAATAATATATTTTTTTAAATGTGCTTTTAAATCATGAATATTGCAGAGTTACATTTCACTGCATTTACTATTAGAAAATGAAAATCTAGCATTTACTCAATTTAAGTTGTATAATACATAAGTGTATTTAATAATGTTACATAAGGGTCATTTTCCATAAAGTGTATCTTTTGAAGTAAGAAATTTTATAATTTCAAAACTTCAGGTTTCCTTTTTTTTACATTTTTATATTATTCTATTATTTACTAGAAGTAACCACAACAAATGGCCCAGCTAAATTTTAATTATTTTACCTGTAAATAGAGAAATATATATAACCTTTTTCACGGAGGTGAGATTTAAACCACAGAGGTGATATAATACACAAACAATAATTACTACATATAAAAAATTGCAATTATTTAATTAGTGCATATACAAAGAGAAATAAAATAAGACCAAATTATAACAATTTAACACAAATTGACGAATGTATCTAAATTATCTTTGAAAATGTATTGTTCACGCTTATTCATTATCGGCTGACTCAACGCATCTACAATATCATCTGCATTTACTTCAGCAATGTCATCTGCTGCAGGAAATACAAACTTATTAGCTGTACACTTTTTCATAAATTTTACAGTGTACTCATCTGTACTGTCACAGGACAGAACCAGTGCAATAAAATATTTAAATGACTTTTTTATGGCAAACTTTACAACAATGTAGCTATTTGGACTTATTTGTGTTGTTATTTTACTAATTGAAATTTCTGCAACAGAGCCAAAAAAGTTCTCATCACTTGTATCACTAAAAGAATCACAGTCAGAGTACACTTGTTTGATTTTTATGTGGCGTTCGATGTTTCTGCTGTAATTAACGGGCAAATTTATTACTCCGATGCCATAATGTGTACACCATTCTCCAGGGCTGCACAATAAACAGCTTAGATGCCTAGCTTGCAGAATAAATGGATCTTCTTTCGTCCAAGTTATTTGGTGTATGCGCATGGTACCTTTAAAAGCTGCTATATTTCTAGGCAATAGCTTATCGATATTTTCAATACATTTTGAAGCAATTTTAATCACATTTATTTTTTTGGAATTAACAGTAAGTTCATCAGCGAATGTATTAAAGTTATGCAAATCTTTACCTCTACCCACTAGTGAATCGGCAATTCTCTTTAGGCAGCCTCCTACCCCATCTGGTGCACCTTTGCCATGACCACTTTCTGTATAATGCCAATTCAAAACATCTACACCCAGTTCAGGAGCAAGGTACATTGCCATCAAATAAAACATTTTCCTATTTCGATATTGAGTAGTATGTGCAGTTTTTAAATTTAGATGTGAATGTTTTATTTCCATTATTATCGGTTTCAGATGCGCACATATCGCTGAGGGATCATGCCTAAGATTATCAGACAAACTGCAATAGGATGTAGTCTTTAACTTTGCAGTGATATCTGTTGTTTAGACCCACCAAAATGTGCAGATTGTACTTCTCTGCCATATTTGCATAAGTAGTTTTCTGAGAAGTCTGCATGAATTAATACATCATTTAAGGTCAGCTGCTTTTTAATACTATTCATGGTAGATAGTACCCAAAAAGGACGAAGCTTACAAAACAAAGAATAACTAATTTTGAATTGTGGATATTGATGCAAAAAATTTTGGTGAAGGTTTTCCAAGGAATCAGTGAGAAGTCTTTTTTGTTGTTTGGATTTCTTTAGTGTTATCGTATCTTTCTTACCGGGACACAAACGACTTGATTCATCTTCTTGCAAAAAATTACTCACAGTAACCTTTATCGCTTCAATGTGTTTTTTAGTTTGACTTTTTTCTTTTGTATCCCTGATATGTCTGAGTGTTCTGACTGAAAGTATTTTTTAAGTATTTTATTTTTTAAGAATTGGAAGTTTTTTCTCCTTTTCTTTTTACCTTCTTCCAGTCGTGACCTATGTATTGTACTGTCTCCACTGGGACCAGGAACAGGTGAAGGGGGAGGAGTATTACCTTCCAATACCAGTGCAAGTTTTTCATTACTTTTCTTTTTAAGATAATATTTTTTGCTTCTTTCTCTCCATTTTNTTTTTCATTTTTTCTATAGAATTTTTGCCTGTATTTAGCGGTGCATGCCTTTGCATTCTTCAATTTCTTTTCCAATTCTTTTATTTTATTTTTTAAGCATTGGAAGTTTTTTCTCCTTTTCTTTTTACCCTCTTCCAGTCGTGACTGTATTGTACTGTCTCCACTGGGACCAGAAACAGGTGAAGGGGGAGGAGTATTACCTTCCAATATCAGTGCAAGTTTTTCATTACTTTTCTTTTTAAGATAATATTTTTTGCTTCTTTCTCTCCATTTTTTTCTAATATTTCTCTGGTCCCTGCTACTTATTTCATGTATTCCTTTAATTTTACCAGCCTCTTTCCTGGCATAATATCTTTCTCTCTCCTTGCGTTTCTGTTCCTCATACTTTTCTGGATCATTCCTAATTGATTCACACAATTTTCTCATGCATTCCTTTTTCTTTTCATTTTTTTTCTTCATTTGACAGTTACTAATTAGTTTCCTCTTTTTTTGTTTTTAATGCTTTGTCTACTCATTTTTTGATTTTCCATTCTGAAATATAAAAAATTCTTTCAGTGTCTAAAAATATAGTTTAATGCATGTATAAGTAATAAAATCAAGCTCATTGGATTGAATTATAGCTTAAAATTCAGTCATCCACTTTAAAGGTTTTAAAATACACAAAATCACAATATAAAAATATTAAATATGCTTAAATATTTAATATTTGAGATACTCGTGGAAGGAATGATGAATATGTCAATATATTTTTTTAATTAAACAAGTTGTTAATCAACATTCAGAGAGAAACCAGGTGTGTGACATACCACGGAGGTGAGAATTGACATATTTTGAACCAAAAAAGTAATAAATTAAAGAATACCATAANTTAATTTTTTCTCTTCTTCTTATATTATATATATAGTTAAATGAATTATATTTTAAATATTTTTTTTGTAAAATGCATGTGACGGAAAAGTTACACTTTTTGGAGAATGACCCATAAATAAAAACGTTTTCTTGTTGCAAATTTATCATCATGTGTATTTAAACAAGCATTGGAATCTTTCACATTAAAATACAAATATATATAGTTTGTTAAATAGAAGTGTGAATGGGTGATTCTAAAAATAGGGGATTATTTCAAAAAATAAAATCTTAAAAAAAGATTTGCAGTAAAATTTCTGAAAAAAATAAGAGTTATTAATATAGTATATTGTATACTTTACCTGTAGTCAGCAGAGCTAAATATTTAAAAACNAAAAAGAAAAAAAAAAAGTATTTCATGAACCATGCTAATGACGAAATAAATCTATTTAGAAATTTTAAGAAATTACAATAAAAATGCTATTTATTGAATAATTTTTCATTTCTGCAAAATTTCCAAGCGGAAATAAGCAGCACGAGAACCCATTGGTATTGGTGGCAATATAGATCTTAAAATGTCACATAATGGATAAATATGCTTGTCTTCGGGCACAGGCCACTTGTAAAAAATCACTAATACTTCTACTTGATTTTCCAAAATGTTTGTAATTTCCCCAGGATAAACAATATTGTCATACTTCACAGCAACCCAATTCCCTTTCTGATATGTTGACAGTGATTCTGAAGGAAACAATATATGAAATTTGTAAATAAGAAGTGCACAAAATATGAAATAGTAGTATTATCAAATATTTATTTTTCAAATACAACATTGCAGTAATTAAATAGTGGGTACCTGTTGAGTTTATTTCGGTTGATAAAGCTCCAATGTGATAATGTTTGCATTTAGCTGCTGCAGGACACGAAAAACAACTTGCATTGCGAAACATTAAATTCTTAGAAGATTTACACCATGAAACTTGATGCACCTTCATAGTGCCTTTAAAAGGTAGAGCAGTGTTCTTATTATATAATGTTGATTCTTCTTGAATAGACTTCTCTGTTATTTCTAAAATTACAATATTTGATGTATTTTTTTAACAATATCAAGAAAGTTTGAAACATCATTACCTTCTGCAACAAGACGGTCTGCTGTTCTCTTAACGACGGCGCTAATTCCATCTGGAACCAATTTACCATGTCCAGCTTCTGAGTAATTCCATGTTATTTCAGAAATATTTGGATAAAATTGAGGTAAACGAAATGAAATCATTGTTTTATTTTGGTGCTGAGTACTTGGACTGTCAGATAAAAAGTGCAGCACTGTCACAAAAGGAAACTTGTCCGAGTATTTTTGGATAATTGGCTTGATGTGAGCAATGATAGCAAAAGCATCATGCTGCAATGATTTTGAAAGGGTACAGAAGGCTTCGTTGAAATCTTTGCCATACACCATTCCAGTATGAAGAGTAATTTGATCTCTTGATGTTGGGCTTCTTCTGCAAATTTACAGTTGAAATTTTCTGAAAAATCAATGTGAAATATTAATTCCGTTTCCATAAGGTTTTCTTTAAGTCTTTTTATAGCATTAAATTGATGTCTCACATGCCATTCATGTGTCAAAAAAACTTTCAAACTATTTTCAAAGATATTAATTACATCCCCAACAGTACAATGAATTGTTTGCTTCGTTGTTTTTTGTACAATTTTTTCTAACTTTGTTTTGCCAATAACTCTTTTTTCTTTTAATGTCACCCACTTCTCATAGCTTGTATTGACGTCTAAATCAGTTGGGTAATAGTTTATCTTATTTGTTTTACAGCGCTGACATATCCTCTTCATGCAATCATCAATCTGTCCTTTGCATGTCAAATCATCAATTAAGTCATCCATATTAGATGAAATTAGAACCTTTAATTTATATAATTTGGCTATTATCATTTTCATATTGGCATGTTTTATGCAAAAGCATGTATCTCATTTATGTGCATCTGGATTGACAATGCAAAATGGGCTTAGGATACAGAATGATGTGTAACTGATTTTAACATTATGTGTTGCATTAAATTTTATGTGTAAATTTTTTAAAGTGTTGCTTAAGTACCGTTTTTGTTTTTTTACTCTATTTCTTGTGATTGTATCTTTTTTTCCTGGTCAAAGAGTGCTGTTGTCATCTACTTCCAGAAATTCTTTAACTTCCTGCATCATATTTTTCTTTTTATTGTTGATGCATCTTTCATATATCAAGCGATCTGATCGGTTGTTATTTGATGAAAAAAAGCTTTGGAGATAAGAAGGATTTTTGTCTTTACGAACAATTCTGCGACCTTTTTCCTTTTGGCTACTTACAGAGCTACTTATTGACATAGCACTATCATTTGTTATGCTTTCAATATCCGAGAATTCATCATTATTATTAATTGAGGTTGATGGACTTTCATACATCTGCTTTACTTCATCCAACTTTTTTCTACTGCTACATGATTTTTGGTTATGTCTCCAAGTATTTCTCTGTGCTCTATGTTCCCTTGTAGTCATATCTTTAACCATTTTTATCCGACCTGATTCTTTTGCTTTTAAATATATTTGATGTTTAAGATCTTTAAGTTCTTGCTGTTTATCAACATCTGCTTTAATTTTTTCTCTTCTTTTTTCATACTCTCTTTTTCTTTTAAGTTTTTCATCTCTACTCATTACCTTACTTTTCCCCATATTCTCATTAAATCTAATAAAAGAACAAGGCCGAAAATTAGAATTCTGTATACACAAAACTGTGTATGTTCTTTTATAATATTCAATAAGAAATTTAGCATTGTTTACCTAAAATATTTTCTGGCTTTAACAATATGAGAAACTTAATCATTTTCTGACAGATTTAATGCACATTTTAGAGATGGTAAATGTAATAATGTTATATATATATATTATAAAGCTAAAACTGAAATAATCTAACTTTGTACTATATAAGCACTGGTTACATTTATTCACATAGGTGTCATTAGCATGACTGTTATGTCATTGGCATGGACAGAAAAAAACCATGCTAATGACACTAGATTATGTCCATGCTAATGACAAATTTTAACTTAAATAAGATTATGAACAATAATATAATCACAGTGCAATACTGCTTTCTGCAGCTTTTTAAAATACAAAAGTTCTATGCAAATCAATAAAGTAAAAAAATTTATTATTAAAAGAAACATTAAAATTATTATCCATTCTAATGACAAACAATTGATGTACTCACCTAATATTCAACTTCTGCTCTCAAAATGCAGCACATGCTTCTGTTTTCTCATTGATGTAAAATGGCTACTTGCTGCCTCACAAAAACTTGATTTTCTGACACTATTGCCATTCGTGAAAATGAAATATTAATTAATAAATAGCTGATAAAGTGCGTCCATGGTTTAGAAGTCAAAAATGGGGGACAAGCTTTAAATCCTTTACTACATATTATTGTTTTATTGTTAAAAATAAATTTATTGGATTAAACATCTCATTGATTCATTTAAACAAAGAATAAAATTTACTTAGTCTTATTAACATGATACTAGCACTTCAAAAATGTTGGTATAGAGGAGGTAGAGCTACTGTGGACATCCATGCTAATGACATTTTGAACATTTATTCTATTATTTTAAGGTGATTTTATCTGAAAAGTGAATATTTTTTCAGTGCAAATAAAGAATAACATTTAGATAAACCTATTTGAATAAAAAAAAATGCCAGAAAACCATCCAAATTTTTTTTTCTACTGAAAGACAGAAATTCTCCCCTATTTTCAGAATCACCCAAGCAACTGATTTAATTCATGTAAACTGTAAGGATTGAAACTGGGATTTTACTTCAATGGCTTTATGGAGTTGATTTACTTTGTTATCAAGTACTTTTGTAGAAATTTGATGCTTGTATTTTTTAAAAAAAAATCTTATAAGTATCAGAATTTTAGCAACCATATTTCTAGACTGGACCAAGTG